AACCCCGAAAAGGAGGGAGTTCAATTAGTAATTTAATCCCCCCCCCCCAAAAAAAAACACAACAATTTATTAGCAATGAATTATTAATCACCGAACTTTTCAATCATCACTATTGAAATAAAAAAAACTGTTTTTGATAATCATATTATAATTGTAGCTCATTTTCATGCCTTTTAGGATTCCTGTGGAAAGTTCACAATAAAAAAAATGTGCTTTTAAAAATTTAACATCTTTTGGTGTGACATTATAAATTCATAATCATACATGTAACAGTTAAAAGAAGGGGGGAAAGGGGGGGGTACTTTCAGCAAGGACGGCCACTACCAACAACCAAGCCCCGAAACCCATATCCCGAAGGCAAATAAATTGAGGTGTCAAGCAAGAAACATTTTTTTTCTGCTCTTGCCTCATGTATTTAACCGCTTTTTTTCTAAATATACTAGGCCTACACATCATATCGGCAAAAATATTTAGGAGCCCCTCTTTTTATTCCATGAAAAGGGGAAAACTTAATTAAATTCTAATATAAGATCTCATAATCACACAAGTTTAATCATAGTGAATGTAAACAGTTTATATTTCCCATCCTGCATCGCTCTGTAGGCGCTTTATTTCATTGGTCAATTTCCCGAGGCGCCATTTTTGGAGGATCGAGAAGGACGAAGAAGAAGGTGTAAGCAGCTGGAAAATTTGAAAAGTTAAGATGGTTTCACCACCCAGTGTCTTTAAGACTGTGATAAAGGCAATGGCCAACGATGAAGGATTAGTGTACGTAAATTTTTGTTAACTTTTTACGGTAAATAGTTGTAATATTTGGCAACAACAAATCTTCACTATCGGAGTCAACTTTTGTTCTGACGCCATTTTGAAAAGTTGGATACCTAAGTTTTAAATTGTTAAGTGTATATATTGCAGAGAGAAAGAGAGAGAGAGAAAAAAAAAATTGAGACAGTGATATAGCATAACTTAGATTATGGAGGCCCCATTTGAAGGCACCGTGCATGTGCATGCTGTATGTTGTAAAATGGCAACATTTCACCTTTTATCATGTTAATTAAAATGTATGCTCCAATGTATGTTCTCTCTCTCTATATATAAATGAATACTTTTCGGAATTAAAAAAAATATTTTTAACCCCGCTCAAATTATCCGGATGATAATAGTTACACCGAGCATGGTTTCGTAGCTAAATTCATACTGTAGAACATCCGGTTTGAATACATGTGTTTTCTGATTTTTCGGATAGCCAACTCTTGTTTTTGGGAACTTACGACTTATGGCAAGGTATAAATTAAATATTTTTGATTCAAAACTTTGATAAAAGCATCGATATTTTTACAAAAAGTGTCTTCAATCTCAGCTTATCCGATTATTCATGAAGGATATGGTCGAAGGTCTGATACAGGATGTGATATGGAAAAGGGTATGTTTCATTATGTTTATTACAAACTTGGTTATTAAATACAGAACACTTCAAGTTGAGAAGATCAAGAAAATAAGTAAATAATCATGCACAATAAAACTACTTACATACATGTACACGGTATTGTATTGCTGAACAGATTTAGCTGTCATTAGGTCAAAATTGCAAATAATAAGAAACATGCTTCTAATCTTATATCTGTATATACAGGTAACTCTTGATGGCTTGAACTTCGATTTCTCGGAAGTTCTTGATCGCTTGAAGTGAGTCTCTGGTCCCGATTTTTTTCACTATATAACTTAATAGCAGATTTGCTCTTGATTTCTCGAACTCCTGATCTCTCGAAACCCTTGATCCCACGAAGTCAAAATGCAGTCCCGCTGTTCTGTGAATTTTACCCTTGATACCTCGAAGTGGCTGTGTGTATACCAAGTTATAATGTTCAAACTTTTGCCATAACTGTATATCTGTGTGTCTGTCTGAGTGTCTGTTGTCAACTTAAACCTTCACCATAACTTTAGAACTATACGAGATAGTGGCTTCATATTTAGTATGCATACTCCACTAAAGAAGTGCTTTCAAATGGCAACAAGGACAATGATTAAATGTGATCTTGACTGTGACCTGTATGCTAAAAAAAATTGCATTTTCGAACTTTGTTGCCGTATTTCACAAGCGCATCTTGTTTTTAGCTCTACTGGTCAGAGACCAGAAGAGCTTATGCGATAGTAATGCGTCCGGCGTCCGTCTGTCTGCAAACACTACTTCTCCTTAAATTTTAGTCTGATTTCTATATAACTTGGCACACAAGTAGACTATACTAAGATACATAATTCTGTGCATCAGTTTTTGATAAGTACAAACCAGTAGAGCTATAGTCTCGACAGAGACTTCTGGTTATTTTTTCTTCCATCCCGGTTGTTGCTAATGCTATTACATAATTAGTTTAAATTAGAATGCAATAGTACCTGGACATAATTTATCATTTCAGAGAGAAGAAAACTGTGTGACTTTAAAAGAAAACCAGTGAGATAAAATCATAGAAAATGTAAGATGATTCAGGATGTGGTCATTTGGTAAGTGGTAATTCATTCATGATTAGTATGTGTATGACAATTGCCTGAAAAAAAAAAAAGATTCTAAATTTTATTTAAATACTGAACTGTAGTATATCAGCTGTGAGCTACAAGAAGTTTTATGTAAAAGCTAGGGCTGAAACAATTTGCCCCCCTCCATGTTATGTGTGTATCGCTATGATTGACACAATCAGTTCTCTAATACATACACTTCAATAAAACTTTGTCGTCTTGAACCTGAATTGAACAGGAAAAAACTCTGAGATCTCTCCAAAAATTTGGATGAAAAAAAGGAAATGCTTATTAACTGATTTCTTGCTGGTCAGTATTTTGATTACTTAAAGGAAGCTCTAAAAACTGCACATTAAAGAGTTCTACTTTAATCTCAGGTAGTTTTATGAAGTTAGAGTGATCTGCCGATAGATTAAGATTATGAAAAATGTTATTTTACAGTCAGTTAAATTATTTTTAATAAATTAAATTATTTTTAGCATTATTTAAAATTAAAAAAATAGGAAATTAATTATTTTCATAAATTTTACCAATGTAAGTAAACAGCAATGATTTCTGCTTACAGATAGTCCATTGTCTTTGAAAATTTCTTGGGGAAATGAGGCACATACCACATGTTCTAAATGCATAAAAAAGGCTCATTATGCACATATTTATATGAAATATCATAGATTTTTTTCTCTTCAAGGAATAATTTCTGCAAGTCATTAAGTTTTTAGAGTTTCATTTATTTTATAGATATAATGAAATTATTTGAAGTATTAAATTTTGGTAAATTTTATGATACTAAAAGGTTATATGGATGAAAAAACAGCATGCGTGTATGACAATAGGGCTTAAATTTTTAATGTCTCTTAATTTTTCAGTGACATTAAAACAGGAATTGTCATCACCAATAGACAAATTTCTCATTTCTAAGAGTTTTCTCCAATTGTCGGCGTATCGCTCATTTTTCCCACTTAAATTTGTCCTTTGTAAGTTACTTGTTAATATTTTCAATCTTCAAAAATATTGGACAATACGATCTGTATCTGTATTGCCAGAGTATGGGGGCAACATGAAAATCATAATGAATATGTTCATACAGATTTTATTTCTAAGATATTGTCCCTCAAAGTTGATACGGTTAAAGAGGGAAAACAGCGTCTTAAGCCAGTTGACCCCATATCGACCCTGCGAAGGGGAATAACTTTTGTAAATGTGAAAGTCCTTTATGGTATATCATATAGATCTAAAACTGACTGAATTTTGATCAGCCAATTCATGAACATGATGAATGGATGTAAATATTGTTGGTCAATATATGTAAAAAAAAAATTAAATTACTTGTTTATATATACATTTGTGGTATCTCTCCCATTGAAGTTTATAAACTTGTTATTTATTTCTTAAATAAACTGAGCGTACATGCAATACCGGTATAAAATTACTCATAAGATACATGTATACTTAAACCATGATAAAATCATATGTGTCCAATGCAGCATATGATAAATCATTAACATATGTGGTAGGATTTGATTGTACATAGTTAGTAAATAACGATAATTCTTATTGGTTACGATCGTTTGTTTTACATTCGGAAACTTTCTAGCTTTATACAGTGATTTGGGTAAAGCCCTTGTCTGGGTTATACATAGGACATAGATTTTGATTGGTTAAGAGAGACACACCTTTAGACCGCGGTGTATTTAAAGTCCAGCATTTCACGATTAGATCAGTTGGCTTGGAACCTTCTCAAAGGTTCGTGCCAGCTCACTTTTTGATAAGATGGGTAATTGGGTTGATCCCGGTCTCTGTCTCTGTTTCATTCAATATGATTATCTCGTTCATTCGTTCATCATTATCCATTTTGTTTTCCTTATTTTTATGTCGATTTTCTAGTTCCTTATTTCTATTTTTGGTAAACCGGTTAGGTTAGGCATAGTAAATTTATCGTGCAGGGATGGGTAATTTTCCCTTGGACTTAGCATTGGGTAGGATGGGCTCTGGACATTGTACATTTGTTAGGTAGGCACTTATTTTTATTGAGGCTCGTGAGTGAAAGGTCGTTAGTACATCAGTTTTTCGTTGTAAATATATAATGTAAAATAAAATATTTTTGTGCTGTTAATAAAATACATTTGTGGCTATAATAAATATTTGTTAATTTTCAAACTCTTGTTATTAAAATTTTTGGGTTAGTAAGTCACTTTCGTGACAATTTGAAAATCAAGAGGTTTATTGGTTAGTAAGAAATTGGAATAAAACGCGAATTACTATTATTGATAAAGAAAGTGTGTGTTATTAAAGAGGTATTTTCATTCGATCATTTTCGCTACACTGGTATCGTGGAATTTCCTAAATTGCATTGATACCATGTAGCGAATTCCGGTTACATTGGTGCTGTGAGTGGTACCTTAGTTTGAGGGTAAAACCAAATCCTGTCACACATACAAGTACATGTGTATATATACTGTAATACATATAAAATTGCATTATTTTTAGGTCCTGTTCTGTGGATGCCCTAAGACAGTGTCTACCCATCACTCCATCTGAAATCACTTGTTCTGTGCATATTTCTCTCTCAAACTTAAACTACAAAGAGCCTGTGAATAGAGGATGAAGAGTGACCTTGGACTAATTTTCTAGGTCAAAGGTCAGTATCAAAATCTACTGTATATCTTTATTTAAAATTGTAGTCCAGAGTATATTTCTCCCCTGGTGTAATCTACCTTTTGTGCAATGGGGTGGAGGGTCTGCAATGATCTTCAACCAATTTCTAGGTCGAATATCAAAATTAAAAAAAAATCTCTCCCTAATATTTTTGTTATCATAAAGGGTATGTTTTCTCTCAAACTAATCAAACTTAAAGCAGGGTTCTTAGTATGAGATACATGTAGTAATATATTCTCAATGACATAATAAGGCTGAAAACATTATTTATATTATGTTATTTTTTTTCGCTTATCATAAAGCATTAAATATTAAAGAGATACATTAAATGCTGAAATCATATGTATCATGGTCATGGAAAGGAATCATTGATATTGGTATATTAAACAAATGTTAAAGGACATTGACTAATCTTTCAGATTTCTAAGTTATATTCAAGCATTATAATTCTGACATCATATAATAATTTTGTATGAATATTACAGATCATAGGTGATGTGAAGAAAACCAGGAAACTGATGTTGAAAGAAGTACTTAATGACCCGTATGAATGGACTTAAATGTGAAAGACTGTTCCATTGTTTATCTAAGATATATGAATTTATTTAATATTTTGATATCATTGAAAAATTCAGTTACAGTTTTTGTACATCAAATGAATTATTAAACATATAAAATGGTAATGCTTTTTTCTTTTACATGCAATAAATTTTTTTGATAGACTTTTAAAAGAATACGCATTATTTCACATTGCTTCCTTTAGAAAAGTTAGGGAATCTTGAAGTTTCCCAGTAATTTCCACCAGGAATGGGACTCCAGATAATTCCACCAAGTTTCTGCCATACAGAAAGTGCTACACAAGTTCCATATAGTTTCCTGAGTCAAGGAAACTTCAGGAATCATAAGGTTTCACGAGCTTCCATGTAGTTTCCCATAAAAGAAAACCTTAAGATTCCATCAAGTTTCCATTCCACAGAAACCACTACGCTCATATTCCTTATGGTTTCCTGAGTCAAGGAAACTTTAGGAATCCTGAGGTTTCCCGAGCTTCCATGTAGTTTCCCGTATAAGGAAACCTAAAGATTCCATCAAGTTTCCATTCCACGGAAACCCCCTACGCTCCGATTCCATATGGTTTCCTGAGTCAAGGAAACTTTAGGAATCGTGAGGTTTCCCGAGCTTCCATGTAGTTTCCCGTAAAAGGAAACCTAAAGATTCCACCAAGTTTCCATTCCACGGAAACCCCCTACGCTCCGATTCCATCAAGTTTCCTGATTCTGGAAACCAGTGGAATCTTCAGGTTTCCCATTATGGGAAACTACATGGATGTTCGGGAAACTTCAGGTTTACAGAGGTTTCCGTGGTTCGGGATACCTTATGGAATCGGAGCGTAGGGGGTTTCCGTGTCACGGAAACTTGGCGGAATAACCTAGCATCCGCTACGGAAACCACTGGGAAACATGATGTAAACTTGAGGTTTCCATGTGGTTTCCATAAAGTTTCCCATGATGGGAAACCGCTTTTTTCACCCAGTGCTTAAACAAAATGCAAAGCGATAAAGGCTTGCAGGTTTTAATAAAAAGATATAAAGAAATAAAATAGTTTAAGTTTATACAGTATTTTATGAATATAAATGAGAAATAAATCACGTGGTAGCAACCTCATGAATAAATTGTACACCATTTTTCCATATGTGACTTTTCTCGAGACTTCTGATATTGTCTCAGCAATTTTTTTTGATAGTGTTTAATAAATTACAGAAAAGCTTGCAGTCTCCTATTACATATTATAAAGTTTGAATATCTGCAAGGCTAATGACCTTTCTGCTTTAACAATCGTGAATGGAATACATGTAACTGTAGGGTACATGTAAATATTAACCCCAACTATTTTTATTTTTAAATCCTGTTATAAAATCGTTTCTGAACAAAATAAAGATCATTATAAACACAAGTCATTTTGCTTACAATTTCCCTATATAACCCTTGCATGAATACCTGACTTAATTTGATATTTTAACTCTTGTGCAAAAAAAATATATATATACAAAGCCTACCAATATGAAAAGGGGAAAATGTCCTTATCAGGTGTCAATTTTAATATCAATTTTGCACCATTCTGTGTCGCTCAAATTGCACTACATTACACTTTTTTTAGTTCAAAATCTAAATTTTCGTTAGTGCAAATACCGTTAAGACCTTCATAGTCCTTTACTTCTTTGTGCATCTTTCAAAATTGGAAGGTTGAAAATATCATTCTCAAAATATTTGTATCAAGTTCATAATTTACTTTATAGTGTAGATCAAATATAAATGTAGGTTTTACCTTTGTTAACAGAAATCTACATTCAAAGGTAAGATTTAATTTTTTTCATTTGTACTAGTTTAAGATTCAATTGGAATGTTTTTACAATGTAACATATTAGGAACGTTTTATTTTAACATTTCTTCTTCTAAGCGAACCTCCGCTTCATAAATGACACTGTTTAATGAAAATTGCGTTTGTAAATATGTTAAGTCTATTTAGTAACGAATCAAATATTAACTTCTTAAATTTCAACTAGCGCCAACTTAAAATGTTTTACATGTGACTGTTTCTTTTTTCTGAAAATAAAAATCTTTAGAGCTGGGTGTCAAATCTAATAAAATCGCACAGTAAAATAAAAGTTGGATAACAACTTTGACGGTCACCCTTATAGTTAGAACAACATGTAAACGTGAAAAAAAATTAATTTCTTAGGAAAATCAGAGGAAATCTGTATTTGATCTACCCCTTTTCTTTTATATAAAATAGTTTCCTCAATCAATTTATACCTTAAAGTTTAAAGGCAAATACAGCAAGGAAGGAAAATTGATATATAGACTGAATTTTAATTATTTGTAGTTTCATGTTTATATCAAAAGACATGAATACTTTTTTAACTACTCTTACAGAATGAAGAAAGTTATTCCCAGTATTTTCTACGTCATGATGTCTGCTACGGTTACTTGTGCATATGGTAGGAAAATGACATTTAATGTTTATTCACTTTTGCCTATACATAATTGAGTTTTTACTATTTTTTTAATTTAAACTCTGGTTTAATATTTATATAAATATTTTATTTCAACCATAGCTTTTGCAATAAAAATCAATTTCTACAAAATGACATAATCATAGCATGTAATGTATCTAAAGTAAAAGAAAAAAGCGAAAGTCAGTGTGGAATAATTTTGCACAATAAATGATTTAAAATGAACCGAAAAAGTGCTATTTTCTCCGCATACAAACTACACAAATACCATTGTAAAACATAGAGATAACAAGCATTATTAAAGCTCAAAAACCAATTCAGTACAAATCAGAGGCACAGCAAACGCGGGCCTCAAAAATACTTGTGTCGATATGATATATCCGGATGAAATTGAGATAAAAGATACAACAGAGTCTGACACATCTATTTCATATTTGTATATTTTACTTGACAAAGACGTTAATGGAGATCTAACAATTAAACTCTATGATAAAGGTGATGATTTTGCATTTTCAACCATCAATTAGGCTTACTTATACAGCAATATATCTTCATTACCTACATAAGTTTTTTTTTATATCTATCAGTTATTTCGATATGCAAGAGCATGGTCTACATATGTGCTATTTCTCAAACGAGGTAAATTATTGACAAACAAGTAGATGAAACAAGTTCTATGGTCGATACATGATAGCAAATACAATTTATCATAGAGTCAAGTGCTGACTTACGTTTTTCATACTATTTTTTTAGTCCTTTATTTATATACTGAATAGACGATGGTTTTTTTTAGGTATCTCCAGATCATGACAAGGAGCAAACGGCGGTCGTGACCGGTCGGCTGGGGATGCTCACTTCTCTGTGGCACCTGATCCCATCTTTGATGTTTCGCCGGATCGTTTTTCCTCTTCTCCTATAGTGTCTTGTTTAATGGACTTGTGAGCTTGAGTACTGTTCGTTATCTCCATATATATTCCATATCAAAAATAAGATCAGCTGCCGTGAAGGATCATGTTCTGTATTCTTCAGCTTTCGAACGAAAACACCTGTTGTTTGCTCCTTGTGATGATCGGAAAAACAAGAGTAAAAATCTACAATCAATTGAGTGTGTATATAAAGGCCTAAAAATTTCTATAGAAAAAGTCTATGACATATCGGGCACGGGATGCCAGTAAAGCAGTCACGTCAGCCCTACTTTATTGTAGTGTGCTACGATAGCGGCCGCGGGTAGTCTGGGTAATCAACAGTATAAAAGATCGTTCGTAGAAAGCTGGCAGTTGCCAGTTGGAGCTCAAGAGAGAAGGACGGATAACTACGACAAGGTACGGTTGTATTTAAAGACAATTGCAGTACAGTATACTGTATCTAGTATACAATACCGACCGGACACAACCTAAAAGCGAACCCTAGGTTCACTCTCTGGGTCTGCTTCGGGTTCGCTCGGGGTCCGCTAGGGCTGACCCCGAACGAACCCTTAGCGGACCCCAAGCGAACCCGATGTGGACCCAGAGTGAACCCGAAGCGGATCCAGAGAGCGAACGCCAAAGTCAGTAGGGGTCCCAGAAAGCGAACGTGCGTTTGGTATTTCTTTATAGAGCTGTCAATCAGGATTAGCGATTAACCAATCAGCGCGTCGACCAATCAAAATGGCATATTGATATGTCGATTGGGCTAAAAGATCGAATGTGTGATTTTATTCGAAATAAATCCAAAGATTGTATATACAAGCAAAGCGTGTGAATGTACAGTATAAATCTATTATGATTGTAAAATATTATTTTATATTTATTTATTTTAATTCTCCGGGCTGTATGTTATATTCATTTATTTTCATTTTTTAAAACAATTAATAAATTATTTTAATTTTCCATGAAGAATGGTACAAGGACACAGGCCAGATCCATATTCATTAATTTTTGTTTTTTTATGTTACGGATATGAAATCCTAAAACTATCTGTATATACCGGTATTGACTTGTACATTCTTACATGTTTTGACATCAATCAGTTTTAATCATTCCCTAAAATTCGTTGATCCATCTCTACCTTATAGAATCATTTGATTGATTAAGGATCTATACCCAAATACACGGACCCTGACACGTAACAAGTCCATCAGCATATGATAAAATGAGATATTAAATTTGCAGACAAGGTTTTATTACAAATGAGAAATGCTAAATTTCAACAAAACTGTTTATACGAGTATTCTTGTTTCATACAAGTAAGGAAAATTAACGACTTATAGATGAAATCACAATCATTATCAAAAAGCGCCTTAATGTTTATATATGTATAGTAACAGCAAAATCATATTGCCTAGGGACAACTTTTCATTATATACCTTTGGATAAAATAACAACCCTAATAATGATAAATATAATGTTTTTTTTCATAGAAAACTTAGCATTACGGAAACTTGCCAGGCAGAAGGCCAATTATTCACAATCCCGGCCATGGGGAGCAGAAAGGCTGTGGATGGGAAGTATACTGACCGAGGAGCACTAGGTAACCAGTGTACAATATCAGCAGACAAAGAACAGACAGCAGAATGGAGAGTAGATCTAGGGAGTTTAGTCAGCTTCAGTTACATCAACATCTTCTACAGAACGGATAATCTACAAAGTATGAATGTTTTTAATATACAGTATTCAGTAAATGGGTCAAGGT